ATAAATTGAAATAAAATAGATAATATGATATTAGAATAAAAATAATTGAGATTCACAATAATTTTTTTATTAATATCCAATTAAAATATCTATTGTAATAAATAAAACAAAAAAACTATAGTATCATATTAAATTATAAAGAAAGATAAAACTTAAACAAAACACTAATGAAAAGAATTCTTATATAAATATTATTTAATTATAAATAATTATTTTAATTTTATTTAATAAAATAATTAAACAATTATATATAATAATAAATTTTTTTAATTAGATTAATAATTATAAAAATATAATAAATATATAATTACAAATTATTTATTATTTTCATAAGTTTTATTCATAATTTCAATTTACGCTTAAGTGGATATATAATTTTAGTGGGTTCATAATATTTTGTTTTAAAAAATATATTAATAAACTAAAAAGGAATTTGTTTATAAATTAATTTTTATTTATTTATAGGAAAGTTTTAAATGTAACATGACATAGAAGCCAAAGGAAAAGAAAAAATAAAATACAGAAATCAAATTTTAGCCAAATACCACTGTTTATTCTGTCTCCGCACACAAAAGACGAAACTAAGGTTCATGCAATTGCATTCTACATTTATTTACACTTTTCTCCTTCTATTTTTGTTATTATAGTTAACTTGTCACCTAGAAAATAGTGTTTGTGTTTACTCCAATGATAAGATTCTTAGACTTTTCAAACATTAGCGTCCAATGTGTTGAGTTTTGGAGAATATTACAAAAGACAAAATTCTACCTAAAATAGTTTCGTCAATTTGGTCTATATAATAGTTTTGTTAGTACATTAAACTTATTTTATTTTAATTTTTAATTTTTTTCATGTTTATTTTCTAAATTTTAAATTAAAATTTAACATAATATCACAGATTTTAATTTCACTTATTATTTGATAATCTCTTCTTAATTTAATTTCTTATAATAAATATAATTATGTATAATTTACTTTATTTTTTTAATACAAGTTATATATTTATTAATTATTTATTTATTTATTACAAAATGATTTTAAGTTGAGATATTTATTATCATAAACAAATAAAAAAATATATTGTAATTTTTTATCATAATTTTTACTGGAATACGTCTATAAAAAATTATTAATTATTTTAATAACATTACATTGATGTTTCTTATAAACTACACTAATAGTTTTTAATATTTTAAAAATCATTGTAATAAAATGTAATTTCTATAAAATAGTTGTTACAAACATAAACAATATTAATTTGAAAAAAACTCGAAAAGTGACCCTATAATTAACTTAAATACAACATGATAATATATTATACTTATAATAGATATTTAATTATGATCGATATATTTAACTATTATCAAAATATCTTGTAAAAACTATCTCAAAATCGGTTAAATAAGTATTTTTTTTATTTTAATAATACAATATTTAATAATAAACAATTTTCTTTTTTTACACAATACTATAGAAGACCAAGAATGAAACATGTTGAACCACATTGATATATGTAGGTTAATGTTAAAAACATATAACAAAATAATTGACGCATATGTTAGTCCAAAGTAATATATTTAATAAATAAATTTTTTTCATATTATAAAATATGATTTTTTTAAGTTTGTATTTCTAATTTATTTTTATTATTTATAACTTGGGTTTTAAATTTTTTACTTGAGTTTTTTTAATAATTGAATAATATTATAAACAATTAAAATTTATGAAATTAGAATTGAAAAAAAAACTTATAATTTTGTAAAATATAAAACAAAAATATCAAATAACTCAAACCAATAGTTTGACTTAAATTTCAAAATTTAAAGTGAATAGTGAGTTAATTTCCACGTAATAATTATGAAAATCTTTCCGCAAAACAACTGGGGTTATGGTACATAATCTGATTAAGCGGAAAGGAAAAATAAAATAAGAACCTAAAATACTATTATAGTAGTAATATAAATTTAAAATTATTTTTTTAAATAAAATTGCCCTTATAGCTCGGTGGTAGAGCGTCAGTCTTGTAAACTGAAGGTCTGTAGTTCGATCCTGCATGAGGGCAAATTTTTTATTAACTATTTAATTTTCTTTTTGTTATGTTAAATCTAATTATTTATGCTTTTAATCTTTTATTTTTATTATTATTTAATTTTCTTTTTGTTAAATCTAATTATTTATGTTTTTTTTAATTATTTAATTTTTTGTGTTTATCTATTTTGAATTATTTAAATTTGTAGCAATTTTTTCTTAATTATTTATTTTTTTGTAATTAACTTCAAATTTGATCTATTTTGTGCAATTTTTTTATTAAGTATTTAAATTTCTTTTTGTTATGTTAAATCTAATTATTTATGCTTTTAATCTTTTATTTTTTCTTAATTATTTAATTTTATTTTTGTTAAATCTAATTATTATTTTTTTTCTTAATTATTTAATTTTTTTGTAATTAATTTCAAATTTGATCTATTTTTAATTATTTAAATTCTTAGATTTGTTTTTATTATTTAAGTTTCTTTTTGTTAAATCTAATTATTTATGCTTTTAATTTTTTATTTTTTTCTAAATTATTAAATTTTTTGTAATTAACTTCAAAATTTATCTATTTTGAATTATTTAAATTTTTAGATTTGTTTTTATTATTTAAGTTTCTTTTTGTTAAATCTAATTATTCATACTTTTAATTTTTTATTTAAGTATCGTTTTAATTTTATTATTCAAGTTTCTTTTCAAACTAAATTTAATTATATATGTTTTTAATTTAATTTATTTTGTGTCTTAAATTTTTTTAGTTAAGTTTCTTTCATGTTAAATAAAATAATTAATTTTATTTTTGTTAAATCTAATAATTTATGCTTTTAATATTTTATTTTTCTTAATTATATTAATTTTTGTTTTATTTATTTTAAATTATTTAAATTTCCTGCAATTTTTTCTTAATTATTTAATTTTCTTTTTGTTAAATCTAATTATTTATGTTTTTAATTTTAATTTTTTTCTTAATTTTTTATTGTAATTAACTTCAAATTTGATCTATGTTGAATTATTTAAATTTTTAGATTTGTTTTTATTATTTAAGTTTGTTTTTGTTAAATATAATTATTTTTTATTTTTTTCTTAATTATTTAATTTTTTGTAATTAACTTCAAATTTTATCTTTTTTTAATTATTTAAATTTTTAGATTTGTTTTTATTATTTAAGTTTATTTTTGTTAAATCTAATTATTCATACTTTATTTTTTTTATTTAAGTTTCTTTTTAATTTTATTATTCAAGTTTCTTTTCAAACTAAATTTAATTATATATGTTTTTAATTTAATTTATTTTGTGTTTTAAATTTTTTAGTTAAGTTTCTTTCATGTTAAATAAAATTATTTATACTTTTAATTTAATTTATTTTTATTCTAAAATTTGTTTAAGTTTCTTTCATGTTAAATCTAATTATGTACACTTTTAATTTAGTTTAATTTAATTTAATTTAATTCTATTTTTTATTTTAGTTTTTTATTTAAGTTTCTCTTCATATTAAATTTAATTATTTAATGTTTATAATTTAATTTATTTTTTATTTTTAAAATGTTTGTTTTAAGTTTCTTTCATGTTAAATCTAATTATTTATACTTTAAAATTAATTTATTTTTATTATAAAATTTAATATATTTCTTACTTTGGTTTAAAATTAGTTTTATTTAATCTCTTATATAAAATAATCAAGCATACTTCACTAATAATTTTAAATATGTTGAATTTTCTGAAATAAAGCCTTATTTATGTAATGTATACATTACTGAAAAATATATTTTAGTTTTTATAAAAAACTTGTAACATAATAAATATGCTATAAATATTTTTTTTAATATATAAACTATTATATATTGAAGAAACGTAGCTTCACTGCTCATTATTCTTATTATAAGAATAAAGTAATACTTGTGCTATGCAAATCGTCAAACGTAGGTTTCAGCATAAAAAAACTTTCTATACGATGACAGCACGAACAATCTCTTGTTTTGTTCCAAACAGAAGTGACACGTGGCTTTCGCAGGTAGTTCGGAGCAACATGTCCTCCACTGATAGCGGGTACTCTTGACTAGTAGTGACTAAATGAAAGGACTTAAAAAAATATATATTTTTCAATTAAATTAATAATAAAATATGTTTTTATATATATTTAATATAATTAACATATTTTTATATATACCTATTTTATTAAAATTTTAATTATTACTAAAAAAAATTATTAATTTTATACTACGTGATATATGATTCTAAATATCATACACCGTGAAAATAATTTATCAAAAAAAAAATTAATAACTTTCATGATTCATGAGATTAATCATTATCTTTGATGAAATTCAATTTTTTAAATTTTATATATATTAATCACATCACTTAATAATGTATAAAACATAAAATTAATTATTTTTTAATTAATTTATGTCTTACTTAATTTTTAACATATTTTATTTTTTAATTTATTATTATTTTTTACTATATAATTTTTATTATTATAAAAGCCAATATGTTTTATCTATGAAGTCTATAATAGGACGATTCTGGAAAGTATTTACCTCGTAAATACATTATAATTAAATAAGTAACTACTATAAGAAGTAATAATTTTAATTATACGACAATTGATGATAAGATATCTTCATTCTTCTTTCTAAACTTTCTCATAATTTTATTTTATTTTTTTACTTGTTGAAACGTTTTTTGTGATAACAAAATTTGAAAGCATCTCCCTACCATGTAAGTTAAACCAAACTTCTGTAAACAACTAAATTTCTGTTCTTTTCTTTTCCCGTATTTTGATTCCTATCGAAAAGTCCACTTTCCACAAAATATACCCTTTTTTAACTTAAGAAAGATTAAAGTTCTCCTAGAAGGAACCACTATAAATACACTCATCAAATAACCAAAAAGCATCACAACAATTCTCCAAGCACAAAACACAACCAAACTTTCTAAACTCCCGAAAACCTTCTTCTGCTTCAGCCATGGCTCTTAACACTAGCTTGAGATGTTTGGCAATGGTTGCCCTTGCATTTTTCGTTACAGTGCAAGGAACTCTTGGTAAGTCTCTAAATCATGTCAACCTCTTAATTAAATAGTTATTTTATAGATTTAATTTATGTGGACAATCTTTTTTTTAATGGTGAGGACTTGATTTTTTATATATGGTGAATCAAATTTGAATTTAATTTTGATGTAAAAATTTAAGTGAGTCGGAGATTTAGGTTCAAATGGAAAAATTAAATAATTTAAAAGTGAAAAAGATTTATAATCTAATATCTTAAATTTTTAAGTTAAAAATAAAAAATTATCATATTTTCTTATATAATTAATTTGTATTTTAATAAAAAAATTTAATAATATTTATTATTAAAATAATAAAGGAGTTAGTAATTGAGAGGACTCCTAAAATAGGAATATAACGATTGTGTGAAAAAAAAGAGAAAAATTAGATAAAAATTTCGGATTATTTTTTCAATTAATATAAAAATAAAATATGCTGGTATTTAATGCTAATATGTAAAATTAAAATAGTAAATTGTTATTATTAATTTATATAAATATAAATAGTGACGGTGTTGTATATGATTTCGTGGGGATGTTTTTCGTAAAAAACAAAATTTCTCATAATTTAAATCGTTAGACACATTTTTCACATTCTTATTCTTTAAACATATATTTCAAAACATAGTTTCATCATCTCTAACACACACACACACAAACACGTGGGAATGGTGAAATTCAGGGGCGATAGAATGCGAGCGTTTGGATGAGGACACGTGTGCGTTTGCGGTGTCGTGGGAGGGCAAACGGTGCGTATTGGAGAAGCGTGTGAAGAGGAGCGGGGAAGAAGCTTACACGTGCAGGACTTCAGAGATCGAAACAGAAACGCAAACGGGGCACATTGAAACAGATGAATGCATAAAGGGTTGTGGTTTGAACAGAAAATCCTTCGGAATCTCTTCAGACTCTCTTCTTGAATCTGGGTTCACGCAAAACCTCTGCTCCCCTCACTGCTACGAAACCTGCCCCAACATCGTTGATCTCTTCTTCAACCTTGCAGCTGGTGAAGGTAACAACACAGTATAGTTTTAAAGTTTCAATATTTTTTAACAATGAAACCTTGTGTTTCACATTTTGGAAATCATGAACAAAATGATGATAATGATGTAAAATGTGTAATACTAAAAGTTTTGTCCACCATCTTTCTCTCTATATATGTACACAGGTGTGTTTCTTCCGAAACTGTGTGCATCACAAGGTCGTAGAGAAATGGCTGAGATCAAAAGCTCCGGTATAGTAGCACCAGGACCAGTGAACTCTCTGCAATTCACTGCAACTCCTCCACAACCTTTCGATGCTGTGGAACTCGCTCATGAACCTGCGCTTGCACCATTCCTGCAGTACTAAGTAGTATTTTTCACGATGCATGCAAGAAATGAACGATATATATATAATCAGTGTATTTAATATATACTTAAATGCGTGTTTAGTTTGTAATAAGGATGTTGTTCCATACGCACCAAAATATAGCTACATAATGTGTCATTAGTTATTAATGTATTATTCTGTTGTACAAATTTTAATGCTCGAAGTAGTCTTTTCAGATTCTTCGCGTGAGTGTAGTTTTCATTATTTTTGGTTGAATCAAAGTATTGTTCATTATAGTTTAAACAAGTTTGACCATTTTTTTCATCTGAAAAAGCTAATGTTATTACAAGCATGGATGAAAAAAAATGGAAGAATAATAATCCTGGTAGATACTAAACCAGAGAAGCTGCAGGGTAAAAGTTCACTCCCAGAATTCATTGCAAGTCCTTAAGTCAATAGTCAAGAATGTCAAGCATAGTTGAACAGTGTCATGTGGCTTTAAAATAAGCCTATGACTTAAATGGATTTTAATCACGTTAATATGCAAATTTAACGAAATAATATTTATTTATAAATAAAAGTCAAAATAATGTTATTTTATTAAAAACATTCAATAATTTGAGAAGAAATTTACTTATATTTTTAAAAAAGTTAAAGATTTAAGGTTTGCTTGATTTAATTTTCATTTTAGTTTTTCAAAATAATTTTATACATAATTTTGAAAAAAAAATTGTTTTTTGAAAATAAGTTGAAAAAAATTATATTTATAGAAAATATTTTAGAAAAAAGAGAATAATATAGATGACTACGAAATTTAATGAAACAAAAATAAAAAATAATTTTGATAATCCTATTAGGATAAACATAAGTGAATTAATTTAGTTATTGATAAAAATATGATATTTATTAATGAAAATGGAAAACAGTTTTTATAAAAAAAATTTAGTTTTTAAAAACTAAAATCAAAAAGAGTTTTTTTTAAAACTATTTTAATAAAATAGTAATTAAATGAGTATTAAAAATTAAAAACTAACATTATTTTCTTAAAAACTATATAACAAACATGAACTTATTATTGGATATGACATTACACTACATATAAAACAAATTCAATAAACAACATCTGGATCTTTTGTTCAGAAATTTAGGAACACAAAAAGGTGCATAGATTTTTCAAGTGGTGTCAGAGTCTGAGTGTACATATCACACTTTTTCACTTTTTCAGAATGATAGAACCTTTGCACCACATACATTGTTTTTGGTTCTAAACTCCTTCTTGACAGGTTCCTCCGTGAACAGTGGTTCTGGCCCAAGAGTGTTGGGTAGGTACAAATAAAAAGACAAATTCCACACTCGATTTCCAAACAGGGCATTAAAGTTGGGAAATATTACGTACCTGGATCTAACTAAATTTGGGTTCATACAAAGTTTAAACTAAGGCCACTCACCGATCAATAATAAGACTCCAAATTCTATCATCTTTCTGTCAATGGAGTCTCTAGCGTCAAGATTTATGAAAAATTAAAAACGAAGTTGTGATGGTTATTTGAACCCTAATGTTAAAGACTTTAAAGGAATCCTCACCCCATTACAAAAATCACGACAAATGATAACTATGATTTGTAATTTAAATCTCCTTGAAATTGATTAGATAAATAATTATATATAGAAAGATGTTAGGTTTTGGAAAGGTTGCAGTAGACACTTGTTTATATTTAATATAATTTTAGAATCAAAGATCTAATATGTTAAATTCATTATAATGATCGATATCATATCTAATAAAACTTATTTGGTGAGGTGTTTAAATAAAATATTAGTTATTTTAAATATTTTTTTATTAAAAGAATCTTATATAAGATTATGATATTTTTAAGAAGAGTTTTTAACCAGAATTAAAAATAAAAAAAAATATTTTATTATGAGTCTCATATATTATTTATTTAAAATTTAGTCAAACTTATTTATATAAGTATTTTTTTTAATTTTAAATAATTTTCTTTAATTTTAAGAAATTTATATCTATAATAAAATATTTACTTTTATTGTTAACAATTTTCTTTAAAGATATTTTAAATTGTTTAATTTTTTTATAATTATTTCATTAAATAACTTAAAAAAATAAATAAAAGAAAGTAAATGAAAATAGATAATAAGTTCTTTAAAATTTATTAAATAAATTTCTATTTAAATAAAATTAAAAATAAATTACTTAAAATGTCCTCGTAAAACAAATCTATATTTTATATTTTTTAAAATAAGAAATAATTTATATAAAATATCCTAATAGTTATTACCATGTAATATCCTTGTTAAATTACCTATATTTTCGATATTAATGGATATATTAGAAATTAAAAATTATTCATATTCTCCATGCAATAAAATAAGTTGAAAATTAAAAATTATTCATGAACTATATTTTACTAGAGGACTCAAGATAATCCCATTTCGAGAAACTGTGAATAGTATCACCATAGCATTTATAAGAGATAAGAGAACCGGTTTAAAAAAAAACTCTATTAATACATCGTATTATTACTGACTTTAGCATCATAGTATTTTTGCGGTATTCTTCCACACTTCTCGGGAACCAAGTACCACTAACACCAAGATAATTGTTTGGACATATTACTATTGATTGGATAAAATAGTAAATTTGTTCTACAAATACCAAGATAATTGTTTTGGCATATCGAGATTGGTCGGAAAGTAAATTTATGTTGGGTCATGTTAGAACAATTCATATCCTTTTATATAATGGGATGTATTAAAAACTCATTTCAAGATACAATCAAGTATAAGATTAGATAGGGGTGTCGAAGTGAGGCAACTTGGTTCAAACCGGTTGGCTGACTGTGGATTGAACTGAAAATAGGTGAGTTTAATTTGATTTACTTTTGTATGAGCTAAAAATTTTATAACTCGGTTCAACCCATCACAGGTTGGTGGGTTAGGTGGGTTGACTCATTAACCCATATCTTTTTTTATTTTTTAAATTATATAGAAACTTCGATGTAGAAACTTATGTTTTCTTCCTTTCTTTTTCAACATCCGTATTTTCGTTATTAACTCGAAATTGGCTCGTTGGGTTTTTCATTAATAATAAAATCATCACCAATACAATTTACATTGACATGTTTCGATTCCATTCTGTAAATTAATTTAAAAGAAAGAAGTCAAAAATTCATATATTAAAGAAAGGAAAATGATATTTTGACAACCCAAATCCATACAACTCCTATAAACAACTATCTTTTAATATTATAATAATAGTTTTGCTTTATTTTTATTTTTATTCAATCATTTTATAGATTATTATATTAATAAAAGTGAGTTGTTTGAAGAGTTGTATGGTTTCTAGTTGTCAAAATATCACCACCCTTAAAGAAATATACGTATAAATCAATAACAAACAACAAATAATGAAGAGATGCTACAATTTTCAAATAAAGATTCATCAATCCAATAATTTAGGTTATGAAACAAATTCTTACCTTTGAAAGCAATATAGTGAACATGGTAGAGTGATGCGGTTGACAGATAATAAGACAAGTGACCCAAATGCAGCAGCAAACGTAGTGGTACAGCGAACAACTGATAACAAATTTAAGTGAAGGTTTGACATGTGGCGACAAACAACAATGTAGGGTAGAGGTAAGACATGATCATATCAATTAAGGTTATTAAATATATTATAATTTTTTTTAAATTTTAAAATAAATGATTAATTAGGGTTAATATATTATTATAATTATTTTTAAAATTTAAAATTAATGGTGAGTTGCGAGCCAACCCACTATAACCCAGACTCAAACCTGTTTAACCCATGAGTTAAGTGAGTCGGGTTCATTTTTAGTCCATAATCGATAAAAATAAAAAAAATTGAACCTAACCCAACTCAAATCCGTGATGGCCCGAGTTGACTCACAGTTTAAAACCCATATTGACACCCTAATATTGAATTAAATATCTCTCTCGCTGTAAGAAATTCTTGAAGATGATAAGCCACGATCTTTGTTCAAAAATTTTGATATGTCTAATCTTCCTATACAAATAAATTGCTTTATATTTTTTTATTTAATATTATAATTATTTTGAGTCTCACTTGGTTTTCAAATGTCTATATTTCAATTTTGTCAGAACATTGAACTCACTCACATATGAAGTGATGCGAGTTAATGACTTATGAAATGTGCATCGGTATGCTTTTATGCGGTCGTGCAAGATCTGTTACAGCTGCTGATGTGTGCAATTGCAACCACCACCATGATTGGTATCAACCTGTCTATTCTTTAAGTAAAGCTTTTCTGTCTTTCATGACTCATTAATTCACCCAAAAAAAATTCTTCTACTTATAATTCTACTTCATCATACATAAACTGTTATCTTCAATTTAAGTAACCAGGTTTAGTTTTAAAGTGAAACCTCTATTTACTAGCTCATTATTCAATGAATGTGTTAATTTTTAAAGTAATTATTAGTGACAACTTTTTGTTGATTGATGGTGTAAATTTTGTTATAAAGTGACACAGAAAGTAAAAATGGTGATTTCATGATTCATTCCCACAGTTGTAAATGAAAGCAATGATTAATGAAAAAGGTATTAAATTAACACAATAATTGGTCATGGTAAAAATAAAAGTAAAAAAAATGTGGGGGCATGGATTATCTTTCACTCTTAAAGCACTTTTCACAAAGTGGATCTAAATTGTTTTAGGAAAGATCAAACCATGTTTAAAGTTGCAATTATGATTAGAGTATTGTGCAAGTAATTTGTTACTTTGAATTTTAAGTTTTAAAAAAAATATTACACCAATAATAAATTTAAGTGTTGTTAGTGAGTTTTATATTGTTTAAGAATTGAGATTAAAGATAATTTATATATAATTTTTTCTTAATTCATTAAAATATTTTTTAAGAATAAAAACGTAATGAACGAGAGTTTAAAAAAGACAATACTTCAGATATAGAAATTAACTCTAATAATGTTATTATTTTTAGACATTCTCAGTGTCCACATGAAATTGAGAATATAG